GCGGATCTCCACATCGGTGTCGGGATCCGCTGCGGCGTCTCAGTATACCGCGAGCTGTAGCTCGCGGTATACTGAGCTTAGGGTAACGGGAGGACACAAACTAGCGTCCTCCCGTCACCCTAGGCTCAGTATATAGGGAGCTACAGCTCGCGGTATACTGAGCTTAGGGTAACGGGAGGACACAAACTAGCGTCCTCCCGTCACCCTAGGCTCAGTATATAGGGAGCTACAGCTCGCGGTATACTGAGCCTAGGGTGACGGGAGGACGCTAGTTTGTGTCCTCCCGTTACCCTAAGGAGAACTATGGGGAAAAGCCCTGACCCCATAGTTCTCCTTTAAGCAGTTCACACTTTATTAGATGTTTTAAGGTAATATTCCAACTATCAGATGCTTAAAAAATGATTTGATGTTAGACATTAATACGGATTGATATTGGTCAGTGACTCCAATGATGATAATGGGAATTTATACTTTTTTTTTTTTGGTTACAGGTTTCTTGGACGCAAGCTTTAAGAACGATAGTAAAAAACTGTTACAAGCAGCATGGAAGGGAAGATCTGTTATATGCATTTGAGGATCAGCAGACACAACATGTGGCAACAGCACATGGCATTGCTCACCTTGTGCCATCTCAGACTGTGGTACAGACTATCAGCAACCCAGATGGCACTGTATCTCTTATTCAGGTTTGTTGCTCATAATTAACCACAGAACAGAGGCTGTAGAATTTGCCAATTTACTTTTGATAGGCACACTGTGGGCAGCTGCTTCAGTGGTCACATGATCTGTGAATGCATACAAGGAGCACTCTGTTATGAGATGTTTACTAACTCATTGGGGTGAATTTATCAAAACTGGAGCAGTTGCCACTGGCAATCAATCGGCACCTCTCCAGTTTGAAGAGATTTGAAAATGAGACATAGAAGCTTATTGTGTTGCCAAGCAAATCTGCTCCAGATTTTGTCTGCTCCAGTTTTGATAAATTCCCCCCGTTGTCTTTAAATGGGCGATGTAGCTAAAGTCAATCTTCTAAATCAGGAATAGGCAACCTCTGCACTCCAGCTGCAGTGAAACTACAAATACCATTAGCCATTGCAAGACTATGACAGCCACAGGCATGACTCCCAGAGGCAGATGCTTGATGAGATTTTTAGTTCACTCCAGCTGGATTGCCAAGGTTGCCTACCCATGCTCTAAATCCTTGGTTCTCAACTGGTGGGTTGTGACCCAAAAGTGGGTCGCGACCCCATGTTCAGTGGGTCGCCAGATGCCTTACACATTTCTAGGCGAGAGGTTCCTCGGCCTCCTCCTAGCGCAGCACTGTCAGTTCTCGCCACAAGCAGCCATTTAAAGTATGCTGCCCAGGGCTGAGTTTCAGCTTGAGTTGGGGTGCGCTAGGGGTATGGCTGTGAAGGAGCTCCATCCATACATACATTGCTTATAGCTTCCTCACATGTCCTGTAGAGGTGCCTGGAACGGAGTGACATCACATTCTGGTTCCCGGCACCTCTACAGGGCGCACAAGGGAGTTGTATAATCAATGCATATTGATGGAGCTCCGTCACAGCACATCAACCCACAGTGGACCCCAGGCTGAGGATCCAGGCTGTTGCGTTGCTATTCATTTTAATGGAACCCCAAACGCACCTCCCACCCGCAGTTCATACATCCGCACCAGAACGTGCGGTACCCTAATGCCGTGCGCTCCATTGACGTGCGACTTAGGTCGCGACTTAATGACCAAGGACAAATGTGGGTCTTGAGGTTACACAGGTTGAGAACCACTGCTCTAAATAAATGATCCCCTGCATAGAAAACATGGAATACTCCTCTCTTCTGTTGCCCATGCTGCTGATTTCTGCATTCATGAAGGGGAAAGTGGCATTGAAGATGCTGCAGAATCCAACACTTCAAGAGTGTGTAGGTACTGGTCTCCTGCTCTGCTCAGTGGTTCAGTCCACCAGCCCTACCTTGTTACTTTATCCTGTAGCGACATACAAGTCAGCAGGAGGAACCACAATGTGTGGTGAGAGCCCAGGAAATTGACATCCCAGAAGTATTGGATTATGCAGGATTTTAAGCAGGCCATTTCTCTTTAATTATTTCACATAGCGGTATGGGCAGCAGGAGCAAACTATTCTATATCTCCTTTCCAGGGAGCACAGTATTTCAAAGATGGATTTTAGTGGAAGTGTCGCTGCAAGTGAAATAGCTTACCGTAAGTAAGGAAATGCTTGATGACACTGTAGTGATAACCCATCTCATATGAGGTCTATAATAAAAAAATCTGTAAGTACGTGACAACATTAAGTCCTCTTTAATATGGTTGTTGGCTCAGGCTTCACATTTTATTAGAACAATGCAAAGGACTAGTGCAGCATGCAACACAGGTATATGGCATTATGCCTGTGCAACACTCGCCCCATATTTCTGAAGAAAGGCTGCACCTGAGCCATACTCATACAGCCAACTTTAATGAGCCTATTTCCAATGTTGTCATATTACTGGAGCCTTTATGTTGCTTTATAGAGGGCCATGTTACATAACTATAGTGTGTGTGAGAGAGTGTGTGCGTGTGCAAACACCTTCCACATTTCTGAAGCCCTTTGGTACCATGGCACACAGCTCATAAAAATATGGCCATACGACTGTGGCGTCAACATTATGCTCTTATGCTGTTTATATAGCTACATAATATTCTATCTTTGTTCATTCCTTCCAGGTGGGCACAGGTGCCACTGTTGCTACATTGGCAGATGCTTCTGAGCTACCAACTACAGTAACTGTTGCACAAGTTAATTATTCTACTGTCAGCGATGGGGAGGTAAGGCATGCACCTTTGTGAACATAAATGTTTATGTAAAGAAACCTGTGAAATGAGCCCAGTTTTTCATTGGGATGCTTCTATTTGCATACTCGTGTTCTTTGTGTTGTGATAGGTATGTATGAATGAATATACTGCCTTTTAGGCCTTGTTCACACCAGATCCGGTCAGGTATCTGCACACGCAGTGTAGTGGGTTGTGCTGCGTTTTAGACACGCTTTTAATGCGTTTAGGGCCGGTTTTGGTTAAAAAAAAAAAAAAAATTCAGTTTAACATGGACTTTCAGGCACTTGCATGCGTTTTTGCGTTTTTGATGCGTTCCAGACCAGATCCAGAGCAGGTAAAATAGGACTTGCCGCATTTTTTTCATCCGGTCTGAATCTGGTCTGGATCCGCACGCTGCGATGTGAACTGGAGGTCAAAATACCATAGGAATACATTGGACGCAGTTTTGATCCGGTCTGCACCTGCTCTGGTCCGGATCTGCTCCGCGCTTGGTGTGAACAAGCCCTTAAGCCCATAAAAAAAGAACAGAACGCAGTGAAATAGTGGAAATGGTACAAAATGACATTCGTACGTAATTGCTTGTCTTATCCTAATGCAAGCTTACCTTTTTATTGTGTGTGTTTCTACTGAAAATGAGCGGTGAACATGTTGCCCAAATGACAGAACTAATACGGGCACTTGAAAAGACACTTTTTACAACCTTTACATTATATGTACCAGAAATTAGCTCAGGTCACAGAGCTATTTGTGATTTATGTTTTCAATTCATACCATGGAGCTGATATTGTCTAATATGAAACGCTAGATCTACTATATAGTAAAATATGCAACACTTATCCTGTCAGGTAGAACAGAACTGGGCCACACTTCAAGGTGGGGAGATGACCATCCAGACAACGCAAGCATCTGAAGCCACTCAAGCTGTTGCTTCCTTAGCAGAAGCTGCTGTTGCTGCATCACATGACATGGCGTCGGGTGCTACAGTCACCATGGCACTAAACAGGTAATTATACCCATATTCTGCAACCAATGGCTCGACTCCTGCTGGCAGAGCATGCTAGATTGTGTACTTCCACCACAAGCACAGACCTTCTGTATAGAAAAGGCTGGAAATAATCCTATAGAATATTGGCTGCTAGTGTACCTTTTTCAGCCTTTGACACTAGAGGTTGCTAAAGATGAAGGTAACTTGTATTTTATAACTGGCTTGGAAATATTTATTAAAATGTGCAATATGTAAAGGAGCCTTTTTTTTTTTTTTTTTAGCAAACTCTAAAGTCCATTCTAGACCCCTCCCCTTTATTTTAATGGGAGAATTTTTCTTTTTTTCCAGTCTTTTGCATCCGCATGCTAAAAAATAAAATTTTACACACAAGCTGAATTGCAACTTTTAATTAAGACACTGTTAGAATTTATGCAGTAAACACAGGTTACTATTGCATACTATTTACTGGTGATTTCTATTGATTTTAGAGTTATAAGAGAGGTATATTTATGCATACAAAATAATAAAACAATTTCAATCTTTACACTTGACTGACCTAGAGAGTCTCTAAGCAAGGTTGTACAATTATAGTGTACAATATGGGAATTTATTTGGATGTATGTAGTTCCTTAACATGAGCTGATATAAGCTGCAGGCTGCTTAAATTAGAGCAAAACAACCCTTTAACCCTTTAACCCTTTCGCTGCCAAGCCCTCCGGAACATTTTTCAAATCAGCTGGCCAAGCCATTTTTGAATTTTCTGCAATTTTTTCCTATTGATTTGATTTTCAACTGCTGCGTTGCTAGCGTTTGTAAAAGACCCCCCAAACCATATATTTTCTGAAAGCGCAGGCCCGGTAGAATAAAAAGATGGTGATACTAAATTTGTAGGCCCTGCGATAATTGCGCAAATGTTTCTCAAATTAATATTAAACCGATAAAAATACACAATTCAATTGATAAAACACACTAAAATCAGTATCAGCGCACAAAAAATAATAATTTTCTGACTAAATCTAAAAGATAAAACTGTATTGAGTTAATAAATAACAAATATTTGCAAATTTGAAATTGCGCCTTTTTGCGAAAAGGTAAAAAAATTACGGTACGCAAAACTGTAAATAAGCAACGTGTTAAAAAATTGTTGTCACGCTGTGTTGGTGTGTGTGTTGTGATAAAATGATACAGGCGTATATTTATTGCAACACAAAGATCACAACGCATGGCAATGCGTCACAAAGCTTTGCCATGCGCTGCCACAGTTAATTTAATTTTTTTTTAAAGAAAAAAATACATTAAAAAAATCATGCACTGCGATGCGTTCTAACAACGCACTGCAGCGCATGTGCATGGCGTACACCTCAATATGTGTATGTTATGTGGGGGGAGGGAGGGGTTGTGCTTTTTTTTTATTTTTGTACACATTTTTTTATTTTTATTTTTTAAATTTTTATTTTTTTTTATCATTTTCTATTTATTTTTGAATTATTTTATTTTTTTATTTTTTTTACTGTTGGGGGGGCTGCGGCGAAATATCTGGGGTCTAAATAGACCCCTGACATTTCCCTTTTGAAATAGAAAAAAAACCTGCAGGTCAGCCTTCTATGCTCACTAGCTGATGTGACAGGCAGCCACTGAAGCAAAGAGGTGACCTTTATTAAGCAGAGGGTTTTGTGGAAAACTATTGGAACTATGTGAGTTTCCTAGCCATGTCAGTTATGCTTGACTACGAGTGAATGTTGAAAGCCTGTGCAAATTTTTGCTAAAGTAGCTGATCCACCAGCTGCCCACACATACACACTGACTGTCTTCCTAAATAGGTACATTTTAGAAGTATTTTCCGGGTACCCAGCCTGTGTATGGAGTGTAAGAAAATCCTCCTCTCAATCTGCTTTGACAAATAGAAAACTGAGAGAGAGAGGTGTGTGTGTGTACGCGCTCTCATCAGGCAATTTAGATACAAGTTTTTCTTAATGAGCAGATCAGAAATGTTTGGCTACACTCCAGCGTGCACGGCCATTTAGAAATTTGAAGAATTACCAAAATTTTGGCAAGCTTTATCTTTGATTTTAGTCTTTAAACAAAACACAGTTAAGTTAAAGATTGTGTTAGAGTTGTATAAAGTAAAAATATATAGCCTGGTGAACAGGGTATACCAAATTGGTAATATAATCTTATGCCAGTGGTGAGATGGTTCTCTCCCTACTAGATCAAAAGGTTTGTATTTAAGTGTACCTCACCATGCCTGCCTGTGTCCATACTTTGTATTGTTTGATGCATATGTATCACCATAGATAGTTATCCTCTGTCAGGATTTTTATTTGTTGGCTGTATCTCCACAAGGAATATTCCCCCATACTACTTGTTGCCATGACAGGAAGTGTGGGGAAATCCTTTCAGTTGGGATACTGTAACAAACACTTTTTTGGTAGACTGGCGAAGGGTTAGAATATGAATCCCATTTTTATTGCTGTTTGTTTTCCCTCTGAGATGTCCCACTCATTGCCCTACCTGGTGACACTTGTATTTCGGGTGCTTATATAGGGCTAGGAAGTGAGGCAAAATCTGCTTAGTGGGACTAGTAAATGTGTTTTGCTTAAAGCAATTTAAACATGAACATACTCTAATAGGGTTAGCAGTAATGCCTGCTACTGGTGAGTGCAAGTTGCATAATGTTGGCTTGTGTAACACCTTAATATTCATCTGATGTATAACCTTGGTGTTAATATTTTCCTATTGGTTAGTTATTTGTAGTTGGTACATTCCTCAGAATCCTATGTGAGGTTGTTACAGTCTTAGTTCAAAATTAACAGTCAGAGGTAGGGGAAGTTGAGCTAGAAAAGCATGTTTCTTTCTAGTTCATTGAGGGACACAAGATTCAGAGACATTTGGGTTATACTGCAGCATACATGATGATTTGGGCACTAGCAAGCACAGAAAAAAAAGACCAGTCTAGTATAACTCCTCCCACTCCCAGCATGCCTCAGTTTTTTGCTAGTGTCCTAAGAGGATGGACATGTTTTTTTTTTCTCCTTTTTCTTAAGATTATTTTTTCTTCAATCTCTACACTCTGCTTGAGCTAGTTTCTTTATGCAGCTATTCGAATCAGCATATCCTCAGAAATGGTTTTGGAGTCCGTACCCAGACCCCACTGGAGTGGACGATTGCAGTGCCTTCCCGGAATGAGAACTTCAGGTACTGTGCTTTGTGTTTAGCGCTTTTGAGATCTTTGTGTAATTAGTTAGTCGCAGAGCACTTTTCAGGCCCAGAGCCGTGGCACAGCCTTTGGTGTGACTCTAATTCTAAAGTCCTCATTCATGAGTAGACCGTGTGGGCTGACTGTTAGGAGCTACTTCATTTATTAGGACTGTTGGGCACCATTACTATTCCATTTTGTTCTGTTAGTTTCCACAGAAAGGGTTAAAACTCAGAGAAGATGAGTGCTGTGTCTTTGTTGTCGTCTGCAGTGACCATGTCACCTCCAGCCATTTGAACCTCTCCTGCTCTTAGCCGGTTCGTGAGTGAGTACCTAAGGTTTTACCTGGTATTCTGAGTGAAGTTGTCCTTGGCAAGCAGTGTAACATGTCATACGCCAGAGGATAAGGGGAGCAGTCCTGCTGTATCAGGTCCCACCAGCTCACAAGCCACTAACATTTCCGGGGAGGCCTGCAGTGTTCCCTCTTAAGGGCCTTGCACCAACAGTCTGCAACTTTGTCCCCTGCTTTTCTTCCTACATTCCTCTGGAGTCTTCCTTAGCTCTGTCGGGTATGGCTCCCTCCTTAGCTTTAGCCTTATCCTGGGTGGCATTCATTGCGTTTGTGCAGGATGTCCTGGCCAAATTCCTACTTTGATTGCTGACTCAACACCTTTCCTTACAGAATGATTGTCAGATCTGATTCTCCTGCACAGCCTCTGTCTGATGAAGAGTCCGGGAAAAAAAAATGCTTGACAGGTGATATCTTCCGTGAGAAGTCACAAGCATTTACCATAGTTCCTAGGCTAGAGAGACCGTTTCATCTCATATTGATGTGGTGCATGTAGCCTTTAAAGATGAAAGAACCACTTTTAGCTACTACCAGCACTGTTACTGGTATGGGATCCCTTAGAAACCCTAAGACTTCAAAAAAGTTTCCGGTGCACGTACTACTTAAAGATGTCCTACACAGAGACTAGGAAACTCCAGATAAACTATTCATGGCGCCCAAATGTTTTGCAGTATCCATTTTAAGAGGCTTTTAATAGAAAGTGGGCCATTTCCACTGTTGATCCAGCAGTGTCACGTGTAAATAAAGCATTGACGATGCACCAGTGTTTAATAATCCCATAGATAAAAGTTTGGAGATTCATTTGAAAGCCTTTTCTCTGGCAGCCCTCCTGTGCAAGTTGCCTTGACTATGATGTTAGCCTGTCAAACATTAGGGGAATAGGTTAAACGTTTTAAAAAGGATCCTGTTTCCAATCATGCTGATCCCCATTTCTCAAATTAATCTCCCGTCAGTGAAAATGCAGAGAAATCTCTGGTTAAAATGTTGGTCTGCAGAGAAGGCATGTAAAACTGTCTTCTGTGCATGCCTTTTGAGGGTCAATATCTCCTTGGAGCTGCATTGGGAACCCTGAATCAAGGTACTCGTCTACCTCTGCAAAGGAATCCTAGGCCTCGAGGGGGGAAGAGACTTGTCTCCCATCTTCCAGGTCCTTTTGCTAATTCCAGGCTTCAACCTTGAAGACTAAACTTAAGCTTGTAGTGCAGCTCAACTGCAAACCCTGAGCTTTTAGGTCCTCCACACCTGCAAACAAGTCCTCTTTGGCATGAAAGAACACCCACAGTTTCCGTGGGTGGGGGAGCATCTGTTGGCCTCTTGTCCATACCCCATGTGTTTATAAACGTTGTAGCCCCTATGCTTGTCTTGTTACACTCCCAGGGTATACCTGACAGACCGTGGAGGAGATCTAGACACCTTGTTGGTGCAGGAGACTTGGACACCTGCAAATTCCTGTCTCCTAATCAACACTTAAGCATCGGGAGAATTGGTAGTCCCTACAACGCTGGACATCTTGACAGGTGTTTCATCCGATCAGGATACATTGGATCAGTACCACAGCAGTGGCATTCCTTAATCATTGGGAAGGCACCAGAAGTGGTACAAATGATTCGCTCTTGGGCAGAACTTTATGTCTCAGCCTTGTCTGTCATTTACATTCAAGGCATGGACAAATGGCAAGCAGAATTCCTCAGCCAGAATCAGTTCAATAACGTGCTGGACAGGTTTGTCTCCAGATGTAGAGATCCACTTGCTGCTCCACAGGATCAGTATAGCTTGATCTATGCTTTTCCTTGTGTAACTCCTTACTCGTCTGCTCCCCAGGATCGAGGAGGAGGGCATTCCGCTGATTTTCATAACTCTGAACTGGCCCAGGCGGATGTGGTACACCACCCTGGTCAGATTCCTGACAGACGCTCTATGGGCTCTTCCAGATTGCCCAGATCTTCTGCCCCAAGGACCGGTTTACCACCCTGCTTCAGTCATTGCTTTTACCAGCATGGTTGTTTAAGCCCAGGACTTGAGAGATAGAGGCCTCAAAATCATGATTCCTATGATGCTAAAAGATAGGAAGTCCACCTACTGGAAGATCTGCTATCTCACATGGAAGACTTATTTTGCTTGGACCAAGGAAAACTTTCATCCTAGAAAATATTTTGATGGGTCTATCCTGACCTTTTTGTAATAAGGTCTTGGCCAGCAATCAACAGTCAGTTCTCTGAGGTTACAATCTTGTTTCAGAAGCTGCTAGACTCACTCTTTAAGTCTTTTGTGCAGGGTGCCTTTGGTTCACTTTAGAAACAGCCCTTCAAACTTATTAGGGTTACTCCCCTTTCTCTTGCTCGCTCTCATGTTCTCTCTCTCTCGTGTTTGTTTTTTCTCTCTCTCTCTCTCTCGTGTTTTTTCTCTCTCTCGTGTTTTTTCTCTCTCTCGTGTTTTTCTCTCTCTCTCTCTCTCTCTCTCTCTCTCTCTCTCTCTCTCT